GCTACTCAGCCGGCAAGGAGCTCCAATTACACACCTAGCGGGCCCAGTTTCCACTCGGAACGATTGGGGAGCCTGGTATCGCCCAAACGCACAGGTGAACTCGACTAACAAGTTTGTACAACCGGTTTAATGTGAAAGGATGACAAAACATGTGCAGTTGTGCAAAGAGAAAGCTACCCACAGTACACAACATGGTTTCTGGTCAAAAACAACATTTTCTTCAGAGTTTTTTCACTTTTGTTCTCTTCTCCATTTCATGATACAAAGTATTTCTTATAAGATTCTTCCCAAAATTGTAACTGCTGTTACAATATATGGTAACTACACATGAAATATGGTGAAAACAGAAAGAATCACAAAGTGAAGATGACTTTGACCCCAAAACAACAATTTTTCTCTGAGTACATTTTCTCTTTTCCCAACTGCACATATTTTGTCTCTCTCTCTCTCTCTCTCTTGTATTCTTCTACTTTCTGCATCTACATGTACATCTCATGTAAGGTATCTCTCATAAACCCTTTTTACATGTTACTGTGGCCTCTGCCATGTTTATTTGGAAACACTGTTTAGACACTCAAAACAAGAAATAAATCTTTAGAACATGGTATCTAGTCTGGAGCTGTCTTGCATGGCTTCAAATGAAGAAGTACCAAAACACTTGATCAGCTTTTAAAGGGAAAAATGTATACAATTTCTCAAACTTTCTACAAGAAATAGCCCAAATAAACACTGTAAAATGCTATGATTTCTCCTTCCTGTGGGTTGAAACCTTTGGACCCGAATTCACAAAGGAGGTTTGTCAACAAACCTTGGTTTTTGTACGTCATATGACGCGTTTTTACGCGTTTTTTTACAAACCTGGTTTGTAAAGAACAAAAGGAGGTTTGGCGAAACAAAAGGAGGTTTGTCGACAAACCTCCTCCTTTGTGAATTCGGGCCTTGGAGTGTGAACACGCCCACATCTAATCTTGTCTGCCCCAAAATGGGTTGGGAGATTTCTTGAGCAGGTTAATTATCTTCCTAGCCTTTATTAATTACTTCTGTGCATCTAAATTGAAAAATTTGAGGTGGAGAGAGAGAGAGAGGGAAAGAGAGAGAGAGAGAGAGAGGGGGGGGGGGGGAATGAAGGGAGACAGGAGAGTGGGATGAAGAGAAGGATGGGGAGAAGTAGAGGGATGGAGACTCTTGGAGAGATGAAGAGAAAGAGAGAGAGAAAGGGATATGTGGAGAGGGAGGGAGACAGAGGTGGAGGGAAGTAGGGAGGGAGAGAGAGAGAGAGAGAGAGATTGACATAAAGAGGAAGGGATAGAGAGATGGAGGGAGGAAGAAAGAGATAGGGAGGAAAGAGAGAGAGAGAGAGAGAGAGAGAGAGAGAGAGAGAGAGAGAGATGTAGGGAAAATGGAGAGAGAGATAAATGGAAGGGAGGAGATAGGGAGAGAGGGGGAGGGGAGAGAGAGCCGGGGATACACAGAGAGTGGGGTAAAGGAAGGGAAGGAGGAGAAATAGAGAGAGGGGGGAGACAAAGGAGATTTAGGAGAGAGAAAAGAGAGTGAGAGAGATACAGAAATGAAGGGAAAGAGAGGAGTGAGAGAGATACAGAGAGAAAGAAATACTAATATGCCCTAAATGAAGAGAAATAGGCCTATAATCAATAACCTAAATAAAAAGATTACTCTTAAATCAAAGGCCTCTTCAAATCTAAAATCCCAACATTTCTATCCAGATATATTTGGGGCCTGTGAAATAAGCATTGAGTAAGGGCTGTGATGATTTCTACTTTATAATTACCGGTAGGCAAGTCTCTCATTTCAGACTGGCAAACATAATTAATAGAGAGGTCTATTAAAGGAAACCAAAACCTTCATACTAAGTTACTTTTATTGTAAAGTTTAAAAGATTTAAATAAAATCAATGAAAATTTGAACAAAATCGGGCAAGGAATAAGGAAGTAAGAGCTTTTTGAAACGACTAGTCACTAGAGGGCGGTATTCAATTTGATGACATCATCTGTGAACAACTCTCCATGCCTTTTGTACAAAAAATGTCACCATTTTTTTGTTTTCTTCGTATTTATTTGTGTTCTTGATCAGACTTCATAACATGTGAAGTAGAATATCATTTTGCATTCTATATCTTGTTTTCGGGGGAGTACATTATCGCAATCACAAGAAAGAAGGAAAAACATGAAATTTGATGTACAAAAGGCATGGAGAGTTGTCCACAGATGATGTCATCAAATTGAATACCGCCCTCTATTGACTAGTCATTTCAAAAAGCTCTTACTTCCTTATTCCCTGCCCGATTTTGTTCAAATTTTCACTGATATTTTTCAAATATCTTAAACTTTACAATAAAAGTAATTTTACAGTATGAAGGTTTTGGTTTCCTTTAATGTTATAAATGGGAATACATATAGCTCTAGGAATCTCAAATTAAACTGTATTGATAGGGGAGGGGAGAGGGGACGATATGTAATATAGGTATACCTAATGGTGGTCTCTACACAGATGAGAATATCCAGTATGGATCATCTAATATCATGAGATAATTATTCTCTCAGCCCTGATTAGCAATTAGCCTTCAACAGTCAGATTTGCTCTTAATAAAATAGGTGTGGAGGACGGTATGCAAAAGGTCTGCCTACCCCGGTGTGTTTGTAAGAGATAGATAGAGAGTGAGAGAGAGAGAGAGAGAGAGAGAGAGGGGGGGGGAGATATATATATATATATATATATATATATATTGAGAGAGAGAGAGATGGAAAGAAAGTCTAAGTTCATTATGAGATATTTTGGAGCACTTTACCTATTTTTAGCAAATTGTGATGCAGGAGGAAATATAATGAAGTTGATGACCCTTTGTTACTAAAGCTATAACATTGTCATCATGATAAGGCCATACTCCAAACAATGAGGCATATGATACTTAAAATCTGTATCAAATTGTAATGAAATACTGTGGGTCTTTTCCCTCTCTTTCCACAAAAATTGCAAAGATATTATTACATCATTCTTTCAAAATGAACTTAATATCAGGGTAGACTTCCCCTTTATAGAAGGAGGCCTATGAATACTGTACATGAACATGTATACAATTATTCTAATACTCTAAAGACTATAAACAAAAATGCAAACAGAGTCTTTACATTAGTGATTAAAGTAATAATAGAAATCACTAAAATGCACATTAATTATCCCTACTAAAGTGTTTGCAATTTAATCTAAAACTGCTTTAAAATACACATATAGTTTAAACCATATCCCAATACCAGTACAAGTGAATTGTTGCTGGTTTCTTCTTTGTTTATTTGAAATATAAACAAATTGTGAACTTGAATCAGGAGATTTGCTCTTAAACCTCTGGAGAGGGTGATATCAGGTTTCATGTAAGAACCAAACAAACATGTTCTCGGATTTCACCACAAATTATGGCCTCGTGGTGCTCAACAACTTCACATAGTGTGGGATCAATATATTATACATACAGTGCATCCCAGAAAATTGAAAAGACACAAAAACAATCGGTATTTGTGAGAAAACTATGAGCTAAAAGATATTATCTTGCTTTTCATGACGTATGTAGTAGTAATATTCTTTCAAATGAAACAGTGATTCCATTAATCCATACATGTTTCACAGAGCAACATTGTTTTGAAAATGGCATGTCAAAATCGATTTGTGCCAGATTTTGGTAACACAGTGAAAACGTTAGTATCACATGCAAACATAATGTTTAGGGAAATGTAAGCCTTAAAAGATGATTACATGCATGCCAAATTTCCATAGTGTGCTAACATGCATCTAGATAAGCAGTTAGTAAAATAGGGGAAATACCCAGTTCCAGGATGACACAGGCATACAACCACAGGTTTCCCTTAAACAATAACTTTCAAGCACTAAAAAGATGTCATTTTTAAACTTGAAAATGGTGCCCATCCTGAGAGAAAAATTACATATTCTGATATTTCAATTCTGCTTTATGTGTCCATCGGGCCCTACTTTTCTCCATCATCAAAATGTATTATGCCTCTTACTTTGATTCCTGTGGATACTGTATATCACCCAACTGTCTGTTTCGTCCTTTTAAAAAGTTGCAGTTCTGAAAAGTACTAAAACCATGCATAAACATTTAATGTACAAATTTATATTGCCCTTTTCACCCTCACAATTGTCCTTAATTTTATAATGGCAATAACCTTGCACTCATTATCTAAAATAGCACATGAAAACAATCATCTCTATTGCCTTGAAAGTATAGGTTTCCTTCAGGTCATGTCACAAATGTATTTTTGAAAGCATGTGACTTCTAATTTACGAAGAGCAAAAAATCATATTTATACAGCTCATAGTTTGTTCATAATATTTGTTTATTTGGGGTTTTTGTTTTTTCTGGCACGCACTGTACATACTTCTGCTGTTATTTGATATAAAAGGTTTGGAGGGTGGGTTTTTCACAGTGTAAAATATGGATGAGGTATTTTTTCTTTCTATCCTTCTTTTTGGCATATTTTTTCTCTCCCCTCACAAATTAATGTTTTAAAATAGTTGCAACACAAAGCATTATTGGGGCACGAAGGTTGTCTTTAAAAACATCACTACAGGTGTAATTGGTATTCAGTTTCTTGCCCTCTTACAAAGAAAGGCCAACATTTGTGTTTAAAAATGTATGTCTCACTCGTTTCCCTGTCTAGGTATCTGTGTGTCTGTGTGTCTGTCTGTCTCAGCCCCCCCCCCCCCTTCTCTCTCTCTCTCTCTCCCTCCTCCTCTACTTTGCCTCTCTCTCTGTCTCTATCTGTCTCTCCCTCTCTCTCTCTCTCTCATTGCCAATCTGACTGACTCGTATTCTCTATTTCATCACAAGTGCTTAAACAATCAACAGCTTAAAAGGAGAAAAGACACTCAACTTTGCTAAATCTTTTTACCATTAATTCTTAAATAAACAACAATTAAAATCAATCTAAAATAATCACACCTTAAACAAAACCAAAGTTTCCACTTACTTGTCATCCTTTATCCTGGTCATGAGTGGTTCTAACCATCCCTCCGTGCATTCTATATGGGCGTCCAGAAATGTCAACACTTGACCCTTGGCTACCGACGCCCCTCTCAGCCGCGCCCTGATCAGACCACTCCTCGTTCCCATCCGCTCCACGTGGACGGGAACCTGTAACCTCTTGACATAATCATCTAGCTGTTGCCCAAGAAAATCTGTAGTTGAGAAGAGGAAATAGACAACATTGAGAAAAGTATTTCCTCTTTGTAGAATGTAGAGCATATAATAATAATGATAATCTGGATTTATATAGCGCTTGATAGGGAATACCGTCTCTATAAAGCGCTTTATAGATATTATTACCCAGGTCATCGGATTCATTCATGAACCATCTCCACTTGCCCTGGGGAGTATTCCTACTGCATGGTCACCGTGAGGGCATAGGCAATTAAATGAACAAACACAATTGCGTTTTTCAGCCTACAGGGCCCCAATTTCTCTCTTGGGTACTGAGTGGCAAATGTAGATTAATGCCTTGCCAAAGGGCATTAGTGCTGCGTCAGGGATCAAACCACAACCTTTGAATATAACAAACCATATCAAAAATCAAATCAAATCAATAAACAAGCACAGTTTTGTATTCCCATGCAGAGCTGCCAACTTCCAGAACAGAAATTAGCAATCACAAGGCTCAAAATCAGTAATTTGGGGGTATAAATCAGTAATTTCCTATGCGGCGCTATGAATCTATAAAAAAAAAAGGCACGCCAACACTGCACGGACGCATAGGCGCATGATTATCTGAAATTTGTGGTGATTTTACTCACACAAAGTTGTTAAATATTAACTTTCAGGTCATCACAAAACAGTTTTCAATGAAAAATGGCTTCTATTAAGAAAATACTTGATACTTTTCCGTCTCTGTTGGATGGCCGCCATACTTCACAGCACTCGCTACGATAAATCATATTTTTAAAATTAAAAAAAAAAATAAATATAAAAAAATAAATAAACAAATCATTTTTTTTAAATCTGTAATTGAGACAACATTCCGTAATGGTCGTTAATTTCAGTACCAATTACGGGAAATCCGTACTAGTTGGCAGATCTGCCCATGCGAGGAATTTGCCTGCATGCCTTTCAAGAACCATAATACCTACAGCATGCTTGTACTGCTTTCTGGTTAGATGTCTCTTGACATTTTCAGCAATTGATTATTCATGATATAAACCACCCTAAAGAGTCTAAAATGAGCTCTCATCAACCGCAAATAGTGAGTCCTTTCAAAACATCCATCATCCCACTCCTCAGCCTTGTACTTCCTTCACTTTCTTTCCCCATTCCCCTTTGATTCTTCCAACTTCCTTCTTCTTCTTCTGCTCATTTTATTGCACTATTCTGATTTGTTTTATTCTTCTCCTGCTAGTTCCCCTTGATCTAAAACTTCTTCTCCTCCTAACCCTTGCATTTTGTACTGGCAAATTAAAACTCTTGAATTTTATTTTATTTTGTATCCATTTCCATTGAATATAAAGAGAGGAAGACTGGGAGAGGGTGAGGTGGAGAGAGAGAGCAAGGAAACTTAATTAGACTATCTAAAAACACTAGAGAGAGAGAGAGAGAGAGAGAGGGGGAGAGAAAGAGAGAAACAGGGACAGAGTGAGAGAGAGACACACACACACACACACATACACACACAGAAAGAGAGAGAGAGAGAGCGAGAGAGAGAGAGAAACTTAAATAACAAGACTCTCCAACATGTACATGTACAGTATGGGGGAAAATGTTTGATCCATTGATTGCCACTTGGCTGTTTCACTTCTAACACAAGCTATCTGAACTCAAGTATCCTTCCAATGCTCCTACAATAGTCTCCTACAATAACCACAGGCCGCTCGAACACAAATCACTTACTAATGGGATAAGTTCCCTGATGGTTTCTAAAATAAATACATTCCATGATTGCCTAACAAGGTATGATACTCTCTCAATCTCTTTCTCTCTCTCCCACCCAAGGGAAATCTTCATCCTCCGCCCGGCTCCATTGGCCAACGTCACTCTTGAATGCTTTTTTCGGTGACGACTTGATAGCCCGACTCAAGTTTCTTACGCACCTCTTTCGCTGGCGTCGTCAACAAGTATTATCTCGGTGAGGAGTTCCCTCGGCGAGCGGTTGATGATACTGTGGATGCTCCGTAATAGGGTGCTCCACGCTTCGTTGTGAAAGACGATGACGATGCTGGTACTGGGTAGCTCTGAGACGGGAGGGTAGCTCTTTCGCTTACACCTACACAATCAAAAGAAAAGAGGGAAGAAAAGGGGGAAAGTTCAGTATGGATAGATACAATGTGCCTCTTGGACTTTCTTAAAGAAGTACCTCCATGCATGCATACATGTATATATGTCATACCAGCAAGATAGAATACATCTCTACAACAGACAGGGCAAACAATTGTTATCTTAAATGGCAAATATTTGATCGGTTGTTGGTTAGTTTGGCAGCGGCAGAACCAGGATTCTCTGCCGCAGGGGGGGGGGGGGGGCGCAGAAGAGCCCCCAAAATGGTCATTAACATTTGGTGTGCAGTTTTGGCTACAAAATTCTCTGACAAAAACAAAAAAAAAAGTAATCAGGGCATGATTCTCCTTTCCTCCCTCCCTTTACCCCCCCCCCCTTTTTTTTGGGGGGGGGGGAGAGGGGAGGAGGAATGTTCCCTTGGACACCTTGAATCCGCCACTAGTTTACAGTCAGTCTGGCAGTGTGACAGGGTATTAAAATTGAAATAATATAGTGTTCTGTGTGGTTAAAAGCAGCATTTTGATATTCCATGTAGTGTAGCCATTGGAGAAGGAGGATGAAGTCTCCTTCAATAACCAATATTCCACTTGAACTTTTCAGCACGAAAATGGGGTGAGACTCCTCTGTTCTGACTATGTAATGAGATACCTATCTGATTTCCTATGGCCGGCCTACTGGAGGAGTGCATACGCTGTACATGTACAAGAATCTTACAGCCTTGTTCCCCTACGGATAAGTATGACGCCGTAAAACAACTGCCTTTAAAAAAAACTTGCAGCAAAGGTGTAGTTCGCCTCACATTTCTGCATCTTTGAAGATAGATAGATGCATACATGTAAGTACGATGAGAGGCCATTGTTATGCCCAGATACCATTTTGCCTCACACTTTAGCTTCTTTGAAGATAGATACATCAATCTAAGTACGATGAGATGCCATTGTTATACTCAGACACCTTTTTCCGGCCACACTTGCCATTCATTTACATACAAAGTACAAACAAAAAGTAGTTTATATATTCTGCCATTGCGTTAAATGCACCATAAGTGAACCAGACTTAAAAGGAATATTTAGTTACAGTTAACTTTAACATTATATCCACCAATAAATCATCAGCGATTTTATAATAGAGTCTACTAAAAGGAATCTTTATTCATCAAATGATATATGAGCAAAGCGGAATAATACAAATGAGCAAAACGGAAGTATAACTTTCATAGCAGGTGCATCATAAAAAGGGGCAATGTACGAATATTGAACAATAAGGAAATCACAAAAACATTTCTAAGAAAAAATACTTAATTATGCAAAGTCTCCTGCTTCCTTTTATCCTCCTTCATCTTCTCAATCTTTGCTCTCCCACTTTCTTATAATGCTTCCCTTTCTATTTCTTTTCCTTCAGATAAGGGGAAGGGCGGTGATGATAAATCTTTCGATTTTCATCTTGTTTCACATTATGAGTAAAAATGGTAAAGCAAACTCAATGTATTGCCAATGCATTGGGGTTTCGGAACATTAAAGAAACCCTTCACTTCTTGATATATGTATATTGCATAGTTAAGTATGTTTAATTTAGCCTATAATTGATTACTATTACCTTTCATGTCTGTACCTATCCAATTGTACTTTTGTTTTCTTATCATGTATTTCATCTTTTGCGCAAGTTGCGCCTTGAGCATTTAATTGTCAAGTGGATATTGCGCTTTACAAATCTTTAATAGTTACGCTCTACTGTTCTAATTCATCATAGAGATTGTGGTATGATATGCATTTCTGTTTTAATTGAAATGGATAGCTTCAATTTCCTTTCTCAAATGCCACATGCATAGTCAACACAATGTAACATACACTGTACATACATGTACATGTACCTAAAAAAGCATAATATCATGTGTTGAGAGCTAGATAAGAATTCACTAATGTGTTTACAACAAATGTAGAGTTAAATCCGTTTTGGCTCTCGGCAAACAATTCCCAGACGGAACTCTACCTGGAAGTCTTTTTAAATAGAATTAGAAAGTCTGATTGATCAAAACAGTCTATAATGCTGTATTCAAAAGATTGATTTCAATTCCTGGGGCTGATGGAACATTAATGATCGACTTGTTTTTTGTATCGAATGTGATCGGGCAGACTGTGGTAAAAGAGCATTTCAATTAGCAAATTACAAGGCTAAAATGTATGAACTAACTGTAGTCTTTTTGTCAATTTCTCATCTGAATAATGGTTCATTAACTTCATTTGTCGTATGTTATACAGAGAGACGGAGGCTGCCTGACAAAACTTACTTACTTGATCAATCATTAACAGATTCTGATCGCAAAACACCAAGACTACAGACAATAGCGGCATTTACATGTACACTGCAACAACAAAAATCATTGATTTTTCTCAAAGTTGCATAATATAGCAACTACATACAGGCATAAAGGACGAGGCATGTTTTTTTTTAAATGCCTACCGAAGTTTCACTGAATTTTGCAGTGCAAATTTATGCAAACTTTGATAAGACACCAATTTTAGCTCACGAGAGATCGACAAGTGGCGCATGCGCACTATACTCACCAACAAATTGATATGAGCAAACTTTTATGTTTTTTAATGTTGTGTAAATGGTAGTCCCAAAAATTGACGCTTTTTCAAAATGTTGTTTGGGATGTGTAAATTAATGGGCGTACTGTCTACTGGTGTAAACACATGGCCCTTAAATGATATTAAAGGGCATTCAGTTTGGTGAAAATATAGGCCTGTCCTCATCAGCTCGAGTTTGCCAAATAGCCTGCTACAGTACATGTATTTCTCATTCTGGAAATAGATCACAATCAGGCTATTTGGTAGGTATTTGCTCAGAAAATTTTCCTAAAATCTATTGGGTTAGTATGCAAAATAGCCCGCTATTTGTTCGGTCTGTCTTCAGCAGCCGCAGACTCGCACTGTGCGTGAACACTGAGCAAGATATCTCAAGCTAATTTCTTGAGCTCGAGTTTTGAGCTGATGACAACGCGATTTGTACCTTCGGGCTAATTCCCTCAATCAGAAATAGCGGGCTATTTGGCAAACTCGAGCTGATGAGGACAGGCCTCATGAGGATACATGGATAACCTTTGTTTTTTATTCATTAAGAAGCAGGAATTTATTGTGTGACCATGATCTGACATCATGATGACATTTCCTTTCACAGCTGACAGGAAAGATTCAAGACATGAATGATTGTACAACCAATAAATCTATAATTTGGTTTCTATTCTCAGGGCTAAATGAAATATGCTGATCTCTTTGTTTTCATCTGCAGCACATTGTAATGGCTGTATCATTATCACAAGGTAAGGACCACACATGTACATGTACACTGATATATATGTAACATATACATGTATATAAGAATAGAGTAATGTGCATATTACACTGTACTTCAAGTGTAACTATCCAATTCAGCAACCACTTCGTATGGGATGTTTGATTGATCATAACACCCTAATGTTGTATTCCGAAAGATCAATTTCAATTCCCTGGGCCGAAAGAACATTGCTGATCAATTTGTTTTCATTTGCAAACACACTGTAACGTACTGCCAGAGTATCAAATGTTTTGACAAGGAACATCATTTGAATGCATACTTTTATAAGAGTAAAGCTGTATTCCAAAAGATTGATTTTGATTCTCCAGGCCAATAGAATGTTGCTGATCAATTCGTTTTCATTTTCATCACATTGTAATGTACAGCCTAATGTTTTGACAAGGCACAAGGAACATCATATGAAATGTAGTAAAATGCACACACTTTATTAAGAGTAATGTTGTATTCCAAAAGATTGATTGAATTCCCCAGGCCGATAGGATGTTGCTGATCAATTTGTTTTCATTTGCAACACCTTGTAATGGCCGTATCACAAGGAAATGTCAAAGTATTGAATGTTTTGACAAGGCAAGAAAACCTCAGATACATGTACATGGAGTAATGTGCATAGACTTTGAGTGGGAATATATCCAATTGACAAACCAATTCATATGGAAAGATTGATTGATCAAAACACCCTAATGCTGTATTCCAAGTATTGATTGCAATTCCCTTGGGCGATGGAAAATTGATGATCAATTTGTTTTCGTTTCCAAAGCATTGAAATGGCTGTTTCACAGCGGTACCTGGAGTATCCAATGTTTCTAAAAGGCAGGACGAACATACATGTACATTGTATCTATGGATGTACTGTAGTAGCCTGCATAAACTGGTGTGAATATCCAACTTACAAAAACATGTATAAAATGAATTCAAGTGAGAAGGCTGATTGATCAAGACACCCAAATGCCGTATTCCAAATAATCGATTTCAATTCCCTTGGCCCAGAGAAAATTGATGACCAATTTGTTTTCATTTGCATCACTAGTGTATGAGCCATCTTATGACCACACCGCCGGAGTATGCATGTAAATTGACTCTATATATAGGCACTATAAAACATTGTCTGAATGTTGAAATGCGCACACACTTGGAGTGTGAATAGCGTATTGATATCATTGCGTATTCAGAGCGTACTCATGAACTTGAGATTGGAATGCCTTTTAATCGATTTCATAGCGCAAAACATGTTGTTGGAAAAGGGGGAAAAGGGTATGTTACCAATCTGTGTGAGACATATTACATCTACATGCTGTGTACATGTACATGTTGAGAAGAGATGATGAAGACATACATGTACAATGTAGAAGAGAGAGAGGGAAGGAAAGAAGAAGGAGGAAAAAGAAGAGAAAAATGTTGAAATAGAAAGAGAAGTATAACATCCAATAATGTTTGGAGCCAGAGGTTTATTAACTCTGTGTATAATGGTATGATTTAATGCCCCTTTGCTACAAACAGACAAACAGTTAGTCTATAGAGAAAATGCAAGGATACTTCTGTAAATTGATATTGATGCAAGGTGGTAGAAACCAAGAAGAAGGAACATAATGACAACAAGAGCAGAGGAAATGAGAGAGAGGGCTTGATCAATAC